TATATTTGAGGTCTTGGCTAAGTGGGGCTGAAATCAACAAAAGGTCTTGGATTGGTGGCTCAGAGATCATCCTAGGAAGCCCACCCTGTTGATACTTGTCATGCTTAGCTCTTATGAGATGACCCGGTCCTTTAAAAAAAAAAAAAAAAAGTATCTCTCTTTATTCATTCTTCGGAGGCTTGAAGTGAATTCGGCAGCGTTCATTAAACACCTTCCAGCTCCTGTCATTTACCACTTCAACATTCAGTTCTGACTGCATCCATTTCAACTTTGCCTGCTCTTTTCTAAGTTGCTTTAATAACATTAAAGTGTCTGAATTCTTTTCTCTCTTTTCTTGGAGGTTTTTTACTACTTCTGACATCTGGGCTATACAGTTTTTTATGACTCTGTCTCTACTGGCATGAGCTGCCATCAAAGACTCATAAAGTTGCTTACAGGTTTGGCTGGCATCAATTTTCCCTGCAAAGGAAGCTGTTGGAACTGTAGTGTTTAATTCATGTACTATTCTGTCATCAGTTGTCCTCATCACCTTGAATAATTCCTGGAACTTGGTGAACTCACAGTTCACACCGCCACTGGGTGCCGCCATATTGGACTTGGCTATTGTTAATAGTGCTGCAGTGAACATACACAAGCATGTGTCTTTTTGGTAGAACGATCTATGTTCCTTTGGGATATATATACACAGTAATGGGATTGCTGGGTTGAATGGTATTTCTGTTTTTGGGTCTTTGAGGAATCAACACACTGTTTTCCACAGTGGTTGAACTAGTTTACACTCCCACCAACAGTGTATAAGTGTTTCTTTTTCTCCGCAACTTCGTCAGCACCTATTATTTTTTGACTTTTTAATAATAGGCATCCTGACTGTTGTGAGATGGTATCTCATTGTGGTTTTGATTAGCATTTCTCTGATCATCTGTGATATTGGGCCTTTTTTCATATGCTTGTTGACTGCATGTATGTCTGTGTCTTGTTTTGAAAAGTGTCTGTTCATGTCCTTTGCTCACTTCTTAATGGGCTTAATTTTATCTTGTAAATGTGTTTAAGTTCCTTATAAATGCTGGATATTAGACCTTTATCAGATGCATAGTTGCAAAAATTTTATCCCATTCTGTAAGCTCTCTGTTCACACTGTTGATAGTGTCTTTTGCTGTGCAGAAACTTTTTAGTTTAATTAGATCTTATTTGTCAATTTTTGCTTTTGTTGCAATTTCTTTTGGTACCTTTGTAATGAAATCTTTGCCCATTCCTATGTCAAGAATGGTATTGCCTAGGTTTTCTTCCAGGGTTTTTATAGTTTTGGGTTTATATTTAGTTCTTTAATTTATCTTTAGTTAATTTTTGCATATGGTGTAAGGAAGGCATCTGTTTTCAATCTTCTGCATATGGCTAGACTGTTATCCCACCACCATTTGTTGTTGAATTGAATAGGGAGCCCTTCTCCATTGCTTGCTTTGGTCAGCTTTTTCAAAGATCATATGATCATAGGTATGTGGCCTTATTTCTGGGCTCTCTATTCTGTTCCATTTTTGTACCAGTGCCATGCTGTTTTGCTTACTGTAGCCCTATAATATAGTTTGCAGTCAGGTAGCATGGTGCCTCCAGCTTTGTTCTTTTTGCTTAGGATTTCCTTGGCTATTCAGGTTCTTTTTTGGTTCCATGTGACTTTTAAAATAGTTGTTTTTTTTTTTTTTTTTTTTTTTTATTGGTAATTTAATGGGAATAGCATTAAATCTATACATTGATCTGGGCAGTATGGCTATTTTAACAATGTTGATTCTTCCTATCCATGATAGGAATGTTTTTCCATCTGTTTGTATCGTCTCTGATTTCTTTGAGCAGTGTTTTGTAGTTCTCCTTGTAGAGATCTTTCATTTCCCTGGTTAGCCTTATTCTTAGGTGTTTGATTCTTTTTGTGCCAATTGTGAATGAGATTGCATTCCTGATTTGGCTCTCAGCTTGACTGTTGGTGGTGTATAGGAGTGTTAGTGATTTTTGTACATCGATTTTATATCCTGAGACTTTGCTGAAGTTGTTTATCAGCTTAAGGGGCTTTTGGGACAAGAATATGTAGCCTTATGACCATCTTAACTAAAAGAAGGAAAGAAGAAGCTTTTAAATGAAATTAATTTGGATCATTCCTGAAATATAGTGACAGATTTATTGCTTTTTAATCGTCATAAATTTAGAAAGACATAGTCTTCATGAGCTTTAATTACTGGGAAAATTATTTCTCACTGTACTGACACCTTGTGGCCAAATACAGTCCAATTATGTTATTAGGATGACTGTCTTACCAAAGTCCTTAAAATATTAACTTACTTTCTGTTGACAGATAATTATTGAGCACTTAAGCAGTATTTTTCCAAAATATAGTCAGCTTTGAGTTAACTCTGCTAGTAAAATAGAACCTAGCACCAGTACTTAAAAACCAGTTTTATTCTTTGGCTTTAGAAAGTATACGGTAAAGATAAGTTTAAGGAAAAAATATAAATCACAGTAATCTTATTACTCAGAAATATTCTCTGTCAATGTTTTGATGTTTTACTGACTGTTCTTTTTTTTAATGCATAGATTCATTCATTGTACATTCATTAAATAAATATTTATTGAGCATCTATCATGTACCAGACACTGTTTTAAACACTGAAGATATAATGATGAGGATAAGCTTTGTCTTTTTAGACCTTATAGTCTGGTGGGTAAGATGAGGAACTCTGGAGAATGTAGTAAGAGATGAATCTGGAAAGACCAAAAGGGACTCCCAAGTAGCCTCTAGTAAACCACACTAAGATTCTCTTTACCTCACAAGTAGTGGAAAGAGAGTTGCATTTTGAAAAGTTTGTTTTCTTAACAAGCCAAAGAAAAAGTTATTGTGTTCCAAACAAGGCAGAAACATTTGAATCAGAGCAATTATGATGGAGAGAAGTTGGTGGATTCCAGAAAGATTTAGGATGCAAAATCTGCATGCTTTGGTGATGAATTGGACATGGGAAGGGAGAGAGAAGAAGGTGTCAAGGATGACTGCTAGGTTTCTGGTTTGCACACTGGGATAGTGTTGCCATTTAGTGAGATAGGACTGCAATAAGATCACATTTGTAGGGAAGGTCACTATTTCAATTTTGGACATAGGCCTTTGAGATATCCGAAAGAAAATCCTCAGCAGACCACTGCATATGTAAGTGCAGTCAGTACATTTGAGACTCATTTAGTAGCTGATGGACAAGGCATGACAGTGTTCCGAAGAAGGGAGAGATCAGGAATATGAAATGCAGCTGAGAGGTCAAGTAAGATGGGAAATCTGTTTGATTTAGCAACATATGTACATCATTGGTGACTTGAGCAATAGTTGTTGGGGAATGATATGACTCAGTGCCAAGAGTGAAGTAGATTAGAGAGTAAAAGGGATGAAATGGAGAGTATCAGTAGAGGCCTGCTCCTAAAAGAAGTTTGTGTGAAGAGGTAAAAAGATGGGGACGTGGGGAAAAACTAGAGAATAGTTACTGAGCAAAGGTTTTGTTTCATTTATTTTGATGGGAGGGATTTGAGCATGTTTAAAAGCCAAATAGGAAAAATGCCATTCAGAGGGGAAGGGTAACTACGTAGGAGAGAAAAATAAGATTGAGAATATAATGGCATTTACAGCAATTTGGTTGGAATTGGAGACCGTTAGAACTCAGGAATGGAAAAACCAAACATCCTATGTTCTCACTCGTAAGTGGGAGCTGAGCTATAAGGACGCAAAGGCATAAGAATGATACAATGGACTTTGGCGACTCAGGGAAAAAAGCAGGACGGAGGTGAGGGTTAAAAGACTACACACTGAGTATAGTGTACACTGCTTGGGTGATAGTTGCACCAGAATCTCAGAAATCACCTAAAGAACTTATTTGTGTAACCAGATACCACGTGTTCCCCAAACACCTATTGAAATAAGAAATAATTTTTTTTTAATGTAAAGTTTCTGAGGAGTCAAGCAGGGATGAGATCCACTGCATAGTTTTTAGGGATTATAAGCATTCTCATTACTTTTTTTAGTCACAAATATTAGCAGCTACTTCAATTAGTTTGTATCCATATATCAACATTCTAAAATCCTGAGAATTTACAGTAAAAGCAAACAGTGAAGGTAAAGTAGAAACCTACTAAACGCTCTTCACCACTGTGCATTGTCTTCTGTAACACCCTAGACTCTTGCACTCAGCCACCTACATGACACAGGTCCACGTAAGTGTCCAGTGAACATCTCAAACAGTAAGTCTTGATTCCTTTCGTTACCTGTTTCTCCCAGTCCTCTCCATCACGCTATTAGTTGCTCAAGACAAAAACCTAAGAGTCATCACCCTTGATTCTTCTCATTTCATCACTTTCTTTTTATTTTTCTAGAGACAGGGTCTCACTGTGTCACCAGGCTGGACTGCAGTGGCACGATCAGCCACATCCTAGGCTCAAGCCGTATTCCCGCCTCAGCCTCCCAAGCAGCTAGGATAACAGGCATGTGCCACCCTGCGTGGCTAATTTTAGAAATTTGAATAAAGACAAGCTATGTTGCCCAGGCTGGTCTCAAACTCCAGGCCTGAAGCAGTCCTTCCTCCGTATCCTCCCCAAGCACTGGGATGACAGGCATGAGCCACACTGTACTCAGCCTCTTTTCTTTACTTTCTGCATACACAATAGCCTTCCAGAACCATCAGATGAGAGATGGTATTTGAAAGTCACCAACTTAAATATGAGAAACAAAACCAAGAGAATGCATGCACTTTAATGGAGAGCATATAGAGTTTAAGGATTATTCATAATTAGCAAGTAGGAAGAAGGTAAAACATTAGAAAATAACCATATCCAGGATAATCTTATAAAATAAGACCTCACTTATTAAATAAATACTAACAAATTTGATAGTAACTATTTTATTAAATGCCAAGTGCACAAAATTTAGAAAACATGTTTAAATACTTATGAAAACAGATTTTGTACAGTTTTTAAAAATTTACCAAATGCCTAAAATTGAAATAATTCTTTTTTTTTTTTTTTTTTTTTTTTAAAGGGAGTTTTTTTTTTTTTTTTTTTTTTTTTTTTTTTTGAGACGGAGTTTCACTCATGTTACCCAGGCTGGAGTGCAATGGCGCGATCTTGGCTCACCGCAACCTCCGCCTCCTGGGGTCAGGCAATTCTCCTGCCTCAGCCTCCTGAGTAGCTGGGATTACAGGCATGCACCACCATGCCCAGCTAATTTTTTGTATTTTTAGGAGAGACGAGGTTTCACCATGTTGACCAGGATGGTCTCGATCTCTTGACCTCGTGATCCACCCGCCTCGGCCTCCCAAAGTGCTGGGATTACAGGCTTGAGCCACCGCGCCCGGCCTGAAATAATTCTTAATGCTTATAGCATTTATGATAGACACATTTTAAAATATAAGCTTGTAGTAAAAATGTGCTTTTGAGGACGCTTAATCTTTTCCATTAATTTTAAGCCATTTAAAAAATTATTTACATTTTAAAATAGAATAATAAAAGGTAACATTGTTGACTTATTAATAACTTTTCAAAATTAGGTAGATACATTAATTGTATAAGTAATGTTTT